CCCTCCACACCTAGAAAGGAATATTCCAGATGTACCCGGACTAGAAAATCTTTTCATTTATTTCGATAAAACATATGGTAGAGGGCCCTTCAGGAACAACAACAACAATAATAATATCAACCAAATTAGGTTGATCCGAATGCCTGCTCTATTTCCGCCCGAAACATGGAACGTTTTTACGATAACATTAAATGGTCATGAAAGAACTAATAACGTTTGTGAAGGTTGGAATAATAGTTTCGTTATGGACTTTAATCAGTGCCATCAAAAAAGATCAAACATCTGCTCTAACATCTATTGGTCAAATTGACCGAGGAATTCAAATAAATAAGCCGAAAAAACGACAGTCAAAATATTTCCAAGAAAGAATGGAACGATTGTGCAAAGACGTTAGAGATGGCCGAAGATCTACATTGGAGGCTTTAAGAGCCATAGGACACTGTATTGTGTTAAATAGGAAAAATTTACCAATGATTTAAGTGTATTTTATGCGATAGACATTTATAGAGATATTTTTTATTTGTCATTGACCTCTAAACATAATTTTTAAAATGTTTTTGAAGGTAATTTCGTTGAATAAATTTTTTTTAAGACTTTTTTCTTGAAGACTTTTTTTTTTGAAGACTTTTTTTCTTGAAGACATTTTTTCTTGAAGACATTTTTTCTTGAAGACTTTTTTCCGAAGATATTTTTTCTGAAGACTTTTTTTCCTGAAGACTTTTTTTCAGGGATTCGTTGCTTTTATTTGAATTCATTCAAAAATGAAAAGTGACGGTTAATTAAAATTTTAAAATGTCAATTTTTTTTTAAATTCGTATTTTAAATAAACAAATATAACAAAATATCGACCGATAAAAATAATTATTATCCATTATTATTATTATCATACACACTCCTTAGAAGTTCTCGAAGGATAATAAACCACGTAACGTGAACATTTAGTAAGAACAGTTCACAATATATCATAATGACTAAATCAACATACCAAACAGAAATAATTTATGCATGCATATATACAAAGTAAATCAAGAAATATCTAAAAATTATATAACCAATTTAAAAAAAAACTAGAAACCAGTCAACATTTAATGAATAAATAAATAGACATTATTAAAAAGATTGTTCAAAAAGGTACAATTTAAGGCGACGACGAGAATGAAATGTAGTTTGTTTTGTTGGAGTGGTGTTGTGAAGCGAAAACAAACACATCACACAAAACTAGTAAGAAGTCGCAAGAATAGTAGTCAGTCACCTACCTATAATAAAATTACTCTCAGGGCCCTAGCTTACTTATAAACATTGACTCAACTCACTTACCTACAAATTTGTATTTCTCGTTTTAGTAGTAAATGAATGTTAGAATCTTAGAAGCAAAAAAAATTAAATTATAAAATGGTTTACTATCCGCACGGCAATAGTCTACTATCCGCACGGCAATGGTTTTCTATCCGGTGCCCTGGCTGTTACATTTTAAAATTTTAATTAACCGTCACTTTTCATTTTTGAATGAATTCAAATAAAAGCAACTACTGTGTTTTTCTTTCTTTACTAAAATCTCGAAATTGTTTGTAGATCTGTACGGTTAACTGTTTGTTCGAGTTTGAACAGGCCTTGCAAATTTTTTTTATTTATTTTTGTTTTTATTTTTTTTTATTTGGTTCATTCAATTTAGTTGATTGATTGATCGGTTGATTGATCGGTTGGTTGATTGATTGATTGATTGACTGACAGACTGGCTGGCTGGCTGGCTGGCTGACTGACCGACCGACCGACCAACTGCCTGATTGTTTGATTGTTTGATTGATTTATCTCATAGTATTGTATACATGAGAAAAAATCCGATTAAGCCAACCTACGGCTTCAGTAAGCCACTGTTTTTCACCTGACAAAAGCAATTTCTATATTTATACTGACAAAAATAATTGTGATATGAATATATTGATTTATTTAAAGCATTATATGTACAAAAAGAGTGCTATCGTAAGAGTTCTATGAAACCCTGTAAGCCACTTACATGTAAGCCAACGTATGATTTCAGCAGCCAGTTTCTTATGAGCACCAGCAGAATGTAAAATATTCATTGAATATAATGAAGATAGTTGTTCAAATAACAATTTTGATTTATTTAGGCCGTTTATTTCATAAGCAAACCAATTTTTAACATGATCGAATAGTGTAAAAAAAAAGTGTGACTATAGTTCAATCCTACTAAGCCAACCTTCGGCTTCAGTTAGCCACCGGATTTCACCGGACCAAAAGCAATTTTTATATTCAAATTAACAAAAATAATTTAATAATACATAATTCTATTAATCATTATTAAAATTAAATAGAATTACTACAATATTTTAAGCATATTGAATCAAGTAAATATTTCATTTAGCTTGCACGTTAAAATCCATGCAGTTTCGTAAGCCAACAATCCAAGCACGACAAATAGCCCGACCGATAGATCGAATTGATCGATTAGTCCTATTATTCTAGTTATGTGATTTGGAGCAAGGGGAGACATTACTGAAAATAATTAAAAGTTGAAAAAATTGAGGTTCTTTGCATATCCCTGCTTCAACCCATAAGAAGGTTTTGTATGCTGGTAAATAGGCCTCCCCTTGATATGTCCATAATGATAAACTAAAAAAAGAAAAATAAAGTAAGATTTGCAATGTCTTCGTATAAAAATTATAAATATTTTAATGCTATTATTGAATTGATTTATTTGCTTCGTAAACTTAGATAGACGAGGATTCCTTCTTCCTCATAATAAGTTCTTTATCTATAGTAGGGAACGGGGTGAATGAATAAAGGAATGAATGAAATGACAAAATGAATGAATGAGTGAATGAATGAATGAATAAATGAATGAACGAACGAACGAACGAACGAACGAATGAATGAATACTAGAGCCCCAAACGGATATCCACAATGCGGTTTCAAACGTGGTTACTAGATAAAGTTTCTCAAAACTTCACGGATTTGGATTCAAGTGCGTTTTTTCAGAATTTTCAGAATAAAAAAATTATGTTTTTTCGTCTGTTTGCATATACGTACGTGTGTGAGTGAGTATGTATGTGTGTGTATTCAATGACAATAGCAGAGTCTCTCTGCGGTCCTCGTTGATAAAGCCAAACAGGAAGCTTCTACAAATTACTTCAGCAGATTTGAATAAAGAAAGTTGGTTCAATGTTACACACGTCCATACACACACACACACACACACACACACACACACACACACACACACACACACACACACACACACACATACATACATGTATACTTCTATAGAATGTGTGAAGGCTCGATTAACAAATGATGTTTGGTAAGCTTTGCTGCATTCACTCAGTCCATTCAAACAAATTCCTTTAGGTACTTGTTTTAGTATAAACAAAAGTTTTGAATTAGTTGTTGATACTGTGTATTAGGGTATCGAGAAAAGATAGTTTGTTGTTTATGGATTTTTCCATAGTAAAATTTATCTTAGATCTATTAAAAGTGGTTATTAATACTTCTATGGTGTCTGGGTTGTTGTGTGCCACAAATATATCATCGACATATCGGAAATGTATTTCTGGTTTAAGTTGTGGTGTGTTCTTGAAGGTGGATTCTTCCGAATGTCCCATGTAAAAATTAGCAAAGAGGACTCCAAGTGGCGAACTCAAGGCAATTCCATCAGTTTATTGGTTGTCAGGACTATAACATGGGCTTCCATAATATATATTTAAAATGCGAAAAGCTCCCTGCCTATCATCACGTGCATCATGTGTGTGTGTGTGTGTGTGCCTGCGTGTGTGTACGTCTGTGAGCGTATGCTTGTGTGTGTGTGTTGTTGATACATCATAAAAATAATTATGTGCGAGTTAAAATTATAAAAGTACAAAACACATTAAAATATTACTGAAACTCGTAAACTACATGAAGTGTCTCCTTAACATAAATGTTAAAATTGTAATGCACTTGTTACACATGTAAGAACATCCATCAGATCTCATTCAATTATTTTCAATCGCAAGATTGAACACTTCATGTGATGAACTGATTGGCCAAACTGCCTGAAAGCGTTACTTTGCATCACCATCCAACAATCAGTTGCCAGTCAAAAACCTATCATAGAACATGTTTTAAAGTAAAGAAATTAAAAACTGTACAAATCACATTTTGAAAAAATCGGAGCATTTTGAAAAAGTTTCTATCTATGACAAGGACCACCCAGAAGGAGGAGACAGAAGGGAGAGATTGTCTCGGGATACGAAGGTTAAGGGTCACAAACAACCAAAACCGTGGTGGCACATGAGATAGGAGAACGTAACAAAGTCGTTTGATGGCTAAAAAGTTTCATCAAATAAACATAAATCATCTTCTGGGTGGCCATACAGCAAAATCTTTTGCCTCAAGTACAAAATGTCTCAGGGTGGAATTTTTTTATTGTTGAGATTTGCCTTTGGTTACTCATGTGGAAATATTAATCAAATTTCTAATCGGCCAGGCTATCCGAACGTTACTGTCCAATTAGAAATGCTTATTGAAGGAGTTTTAAAATAAAAAAGACTGGTTGCTCAGCCACGATAATGCAAAAATTTGATATTATTTCTCATATTTTAAACAAAAAATTTAGAATGATATTACTAAGAAAAACAATTACATTGACTGGTATTCATTGAGCAGTTAGAGCTAGATAATATCTGAATTAAAATTGTGAAGAAAAAGTTGAAAAAATGTTCAGAGAGTTGGAACCCGGGGCCAGGAGTGTGAGAATGTTGAATGAAGGAGTCGCAGTTGACTCCAACACCCTGCAAACACCACACAGGTTGCACAAATTTTACGCTGGAAAAAGCGTAGTTGCTATAAAAATGAATCGATAGTTAGCTATTAAATAGATACACAGATGTAAAGCTTGCATGAAATATTCGAAATAATTTGAAGCATCTAAACTAATAGAATATAAGAGATGAATAATCGAAAGAAACATGCTCCTCACACGTTAGGCTTCATCATCATCCGGCTGTAGGTGGGGGTAGAATCATAATAATAGAACCAAGCGAACCAGTACGGGCCATTCACGCTTTGATAACCACAGACATTGAACCAATTTCCTGATGAACACACTGAAGCACACAATTACCGTTGGCCCACTCATCGTTATCCTGATCGGGAGTTGTGAACTTCATCTCATTTTGAACAAGAAAGGAATCTGGATTATTCATAACATCATTCTTATCTCTACAGTATCCGGAAACGTTGATGGAATATTTTTCATGCTCTGAATTGATCTGGGATTGTATCAATGACTATATATTCATTAATTAGCGATTGAAGTATACAAATAAATTTCATTTTTACAACTGATTTTTTATCGTTGTTAATAATAATAATGTTGTTATTAATGTTATTATTCTTATTATTGTTGTTATTGGAGACAGTAGTAGTAGCAGTACTAGTAATGCTACTACTTGGCTGATTACAAACTACATTTGAATGCTAATAAAGCAAATTACATTTTATTCGGACATGAAGCAGTAGCCAATAGACTAGATCATTCAGATATATTAACTGTTATAACCTATCATTATGAAAGGCTAAATTACTTAGTTCTGTCCTATCGATTTTGAAGTGGTGAAATACATTGCCTAATAACATCATCTCTTAAGCATTATAGATATTTCGTTTGTAATTAGGTGACATGTAAAACTACATGATTAAATTTTTCTATAATAATTCTTGTTGGATTCTGTTTGTAACAAATGGAGCCATATGGTTTAATTTTTCCTTCATTTAATGATACAATTCTTAAAAAATATATCTAACAAATTATAACCAATGATTATTATAATTGTATAATGTATCCAAAAACTTGATCACCAACACAGATGGACAACTGCCTGTTAGCAGTGAGGCACATGTAGAGAGCACAAGGATTGTTGACGCCAGGTAGTGAGTTGGAACAAGAGTAGAGCAATCCACCGTTGAAGGTGAATGGAATGTTACAGGATTTGCTCAGGGTTATGGATAAGTTGGTTGCTTTCAAAAAATAATAATTTTTGAAGCAAAATAATACTAAAGAAATATTGAACGAACATTTGTTAAGAGTTTTTAAATGAACATATAGTGGCATTATTTAAATTGTGATATTTTGAACTATTCAAAAAGAAATCGTCAAAAATTATAAAACGTTAATTTGTAGCAGTTATTTATAACCAAATTTATTAAAAAATTAGTTAAGATAATGAAAGATCGATCAGATAATGCATTAAAAGAATCACTAACACAATGCCTTCTTTCTTGTTATATCCTGTAATAAAAATTTAACTGAATGAGAAGTGATGTAAAATTGAAATGAAAAATTGCAGTTGAAAGATAATTCAAGCAACACAAGAGAACCTTCTATTTCAAACATTATCCAAAAAACTAACTCTATATGCTTTGCAGCTTGTTTTATTCAAAGTAATTCTACAACTTGTCTTGTAACTTGTAACTTGTCTTGTTAATAAAATGAAACAGTTGGCAATATTTAGCTGGATGACTAGCATTGTTGGAGATGTAGTTGAATGCTTCGCAAGTGAAATTACCATCAGTTGGAGAAACATAGTGAGAACATTTGGAAGAACATTCCAGTAACGAGCGTATGTTGGTTAGTACTGCGGTAGGTTTGGAAGCAAAACACATGGGATTGTTTGGCTCTCCTATCATTTCATACTTCTTGTCAACTGCTGAGGCCAGCAAGTTGGATGATGATGACAGTGAGAAGATTGCTAATAAAATTGCAATAAACCACATTTTCAGTTATTTCAATTAAGGATATTTTCAAAAACAATATACAATTCAAATTTTATGGAACATTCCCGCTTTCACTACAGATTCCATGCATATTTTTAGATACACCAAATCCGATATTCAAAGTTTTGTCCCACTGTTAAATACGACGTATCTTTTCTCTACCGTACCGAACATTTGTGCCTGCTTATCAACACGGCGTTCTTTAATTTGCTTCCTCCTAATTAAAACTTCAAACATTCAAGCAAGGCTTTAAATTTGGTGCGGTTTTCTAAGTCACACACACACGCGCGCGCACACACGCACACATTCAGTAAAATAACTAACTCGCCAAATAATTTTCACATTGTAAAATTCCGTCTACTAAATAATTGTTTTTTTATTGAAGTCCTAAAATTGTAGCGAGAAAACGAGATGCAATTGTTGAATGGTTGTAAGGTTGGAAATTTAAATTACCGGGCACGATCGAACTGAAACTCCGCGTTCGTGCGATCAAAGATTCAACGTAAAATTTCTTCCTATTTATTGTTGCATGCACAGTTTAGACGACACACATTTACTCGAACAACATGCCTTTCACAGTTGTGTACATTTTCGTAACTTTAAATAAACTGTTAAACATTCAAACATATGTTCAAATGTCTCACTCATGATGCAATCAACTTCTAAACTTGCTTGCGTGTTTTTATAACGACGAACATTTGCGAATGGCAAAAATATTTCAACGATTTTCCGATTTCATAACATTTTTTTTAGAAATTATCAACTTTTATTAGAATTTTAACTTGAAAATTAAAATGTATGCCATTGGTTAGATGGTGGAATGATTGAGGTTCCTGGCGGTGATACTGCAGTGACCAGTCTCGAATGCAACGAGATTCTCGCTTAGCACATGCATTGTGTTGGATGCGTTGATACACGCGTGTTTACGTACACATATTTAAAAGGAGTAAAGAAATAGATAAGCTGACGCAGAGTACCCATCCTTCAAAAGTTATTTATTTCCAACAAGACATGGTTTAATTAATTCATATTTAAAACAAAACGGACTTTGTAATGATGAACCAGATTGTAATTTGAACGTTCATTTGCTAATGTTTGGTGTTTCCTTCGATTTAACGGAGTTTCAACTCAATTTCTTCTCAGAAATAATTATATTGCTCTTTTATTTTCAAATAGATCTGATTTAATTAATCAGATAAGTCGCAAATGTTTATCACCCATTGTGTGTTTACAAAGAAAAACGTTGTGATGGCAGAGACCTTCTTACCTACTAACCTACTTACACGCATATAAGTGCTCGAGGGTGTGTGAATGTGAGTGTTAAATAAAATAAGTAATACATACATTTGATTAATAGGAAAAATTATTTCATAAACATTACGTTACGAATGTATATCAATGTAGGAGTTGTTTTGCAGTCCAGTGTATGGCGTTTCAGCCGCCACACAATTGTTGGTCGTCCTGTCGTAAAAAGTCTGCTTGCTCGTGTAGTCTGTCGATGTTGGGTCTTCCGCTATTTGTTCGTAGAACTCATCCGAACAGGCGCTGCTCTTTTCAGGCCTTCCAAACATCACCGTGGTGTTCAAGTTGGATCTCTTTCGACCTGAGTGACATTTCAAAATGAAAAGGATGAGGTGGTGATTAACTTTTTAACTACTGAGTGTATTTGTTTGCTATTTCTATTTCCGCTGCTGTTGCTGGTTGTATAATTTTGTATTGTTTCTAACTTTTTATTGATGAAGTAGTGTGTGAATTTAATTAGATGATGCACATTTCGTGTTTCATCTCGACAAAAATTTCAACCCAGGTTCACTTACGTCTTCGTCTGCAGTAACACACGACCGAAATGATGATGATGATGATGAGGAGGAGGACGTTGCTGATGATAATGCCGACGATGGTGGCGGTTGAAACGCCGGCGTCTCTCTTTTGGTCTTTTTTGGCCGCTGGGTGATATTTTTCAATTTATTTGGCGCCGTGTTTATTAAAATAATGCCATTCGGTTGGTGTTATTTATTTAATTAATGTCATTTATTCATGTAAATTTATTTCTCTACTTCTTACCCCCAACATAAAATTGCAGGTATCTTTCAGTTGCAGATTTTTAACTTTTTAAACAATTGAATTATTTGGGTTCAAAAAGTGATAAAAGCCTAATTCTATCGAAAAAACCATTGTGAATCTAAACTAATTTTATTTAAAATTTAATCAAAATTGAATCAAATATTAAGAAGCTTTACATTTTAAAATTTTGTGTTGATATTACAATTAAAAAACTGGCCAATATAGCAAATATAATCAAAATTCAATAAAAATTTGATTTTTTCTAAATTTGGCTGGTGATTTAGGTTGCTTGGAGAGGTTTGCTAAAAATATGAGAGTTGTTCAGTCAGTATGCTTGCTGTGCCACTGTTTTATACATTGGTTTTATATAAATAGAAATTTCAACAAATAGTTCCTCACTGATTTCACATATTTCGGTAATTCTAATTCGGAACCAGAGAGATCGAGAAAATTTAGTGAACGAACAACAAGAAAGATTATAAAGGACGAACGCAGATACACGGAGAAATTGTCGTTGGAACCGCACGAGCTATCATCGAATGCACACTCTAAATCACAGGAAGCTAGGGTTGAAACCTGACCGAGACTTCCATCGCAATAACATTCGTCTGCCTTCTGAAATAAATAATTAAAAAAATTATAAGTTAGCCCAATTAGAGTTTTGGTTTGTTCACAATGTCAAATGAACTGATTTGACCATTGATTTCTAAGTGTTAAGAATAATAAGAATATGTTTTTATTTTAAGCAGATAGCCGGCCAGTCTGCCAATTAGCAAGCCAGCCAGTCAAACAGTCAGCCAGCCAGCCAGTAAGCCGTTCAGCCAACTAAACATCTAACCAACTAATCCCAGATAAACTCACACGAATAGCCATGTACAAGTATGACGAGCACATATCTTGACACTCGTACACAAAGGTAAAACTTCCAACATGTACTTCCCTGCCGGACAATGTTTTGTAACAACCGATGTGTTGGTCCATGAAGTTGGCTGATGTTGGCCAGAAGTACATTTATACATATTCAGCAGTATTGAATATATTTATGAAATTTGCAACATAGTGTGAACTGGATTGTACAAAACCAACTTGCAAATGTTTTGAAATGGAATTATAATGAAGTGACTTAAATTGTAAAAATGTAATTTTGAAAGGAACAAATTTTAAAAGGTTGTCTGTTTGTTTTCATTAAAATTTTTAACATTAAAGTTTATCTTCAATTTTTTTTATTGATCTAATTTACATAATTGTATGAAACTATTCAAGCAGTGACGAATTAAAAATCTTGATATGTATTCAATAGCTTTGAAACAGTAGAACGAACTCTTGCTAGTGCCGTATATTTCAAACTCCATGATGCTGATAGTTGACTTCTCTTCGTTGGCAAACAAAGTGACGTAGCGATATTTGGTTTTTGATAAGGTGCAGTTGAGGCGGGCAGCCACCCCGGCAGGCGTCGTGTAGGGGTACCTGCCGCACAACTCGTTCTTCTCCGGCTCACCCTCCTCATAACTCTCCAACAGTCCCACGCTGAAGTAATCCAACGAATCGACTGAAAATTTTGTTTCATAATTTTGGTAATTGAAAATTTTTAAAGATGTTTATTTTGGCGTACAGTTTATTTTCAAGTTTTTTTTTTGACACATACACTAAAAACGCCTGAGCAGTTCTTACTATAGTCAACTGATTTGAACAAGTAGTTTCTTGCAAATAAAAGGGCTGCTTTTATAATAATTAAGGAACTTTCAAACAAATTCTGAAATTTTTTGGTTAAATTGTATTTGGGCGAAACTTTTTATATATATTTGGATCTACAGAAAATGTTTGTCATGAAGAATTAATTATGAAATCAATGACCAGTGATTTTTGCACCGTCAAATAAACATGCAAACAAACAAACAAACAAACAAACAAACAAACAAACAAACAAACAAACAAACAAACAAACAAACAAACAAACAAACAAACAAACAAACAAACAAACAAACAAACAAACAAACAAACAAACAAACAAACAAACAAACAAACAAACAAACAAACAAACAAACAAACAAACAAACAAACAAACAAACAAACAAACAAACAAACAAACAAACAAACAAACAAACAAACAAACAAACAAACAAACAAACAAACAAACAAACAAACAAACAAACAAACAAACAAACAAACAAACAAACAAACAAACAAACAAACAAACAAACAAACAAACAAACAAACAAACATGCAAACAAACAAACATGCAAACAAACAAACATGCAAACAAACAAACAAACAAACAAATAGCAACCACACACAGTAAGCATCTGCCCGGTTATGCACGACGACATAATGGATCCTGTACTCATCTGCTAGATCGACGATCATCCAGTTTTCTCCGTTGGTCGTGTGGGCCATGGTGTTCAGGTTGCCGTCCACCGCATGGGAGCCTGGATAGATGATGTAGGCAGTCTTCATGAAGACACTTTTGTGCAGGGCGATGTTTTTCAGTTCCGCTCGTGTTGCTAGTGTTAATAGTTAACAATCAACGTATTTATTCTTGTATAATTCAAGTTTTGTCTAAAATTTTACAATATTAAATTTTATTAATTATTAAACAAAAAACATTTTATTAAGAACTTTAATTATACAGTTTGGCATATTTACTATAACGAAACGTTTATTATTCTTTTAAACTAAAATTCACTCACACTTTATGAAACAAATCAATATCAACAAGATACAAAAACTCGTCTGAAAATGTTTCATTTGAAAAGCCATTTTGAATAAGAAATAATTGAATAAAAAGCAGTAGAAAATAATTCTATTAAGCCTCTGCCTTCTGTGATGTGATGTTTATATACAATGAAACATTTTATAATTTGAATGGCTGCTAACAGGATGTCGGCTCGTGAGTGTGTCTCCTTCATGTTGTCGGCTCGCTTTTAATTGCTACCTTACAACGCAGTGTGACGAGGAACCATTATTGTTTGATGAGTGTGGTTGTTGTGATGTTTCAATGTTTGGGTTGGTGTGTTAGGTCTCAGAATATATCTCCAATTAGGAAACCGAAACGTAAACATGATCATTAAATTCAACATAACTACGCCAAGACGGACACAAAAAATTGTCAACAGTACTTGACGAGTTAGCTCAGACGGCAGAAGTGCCATGTTATTGCACGACGAACTGGTTCGAATGCTAGTCGTCCAATAGAAGTCTGCGTCTATCAAAATATTCCGAACTCTTCTATAACCGGAATTTTGTAAAAAATCCGCCAATTCTGAATTTAGTCAAGTTCAAACAAGTACGTAATACGATATATTTTACTGGTCAAAATAAATTTGTCGAAGATAACAAATAGAAGATAATTAATCGTTTCTGAATTTTATTTTTAATTACCTATTTGAAATAATTGAATTCACACATTTATATACATATTTAATTCATTAATTTGGTTTATATTATAAATAATAAAAATTTCTAAAAAGAGTTAATAAATTAAGAATTACTTGATTTTAAATTTATTTCTCGACATGTCGGAATAAATCCGTCGGGATTTTTCAAACGATTGGATTTTGAAATTTGCGATCAAACGCGGTTCTAACTCGGTCGGAACGCAGACCACTACTTCCCAAGACCCGGAATATCGTGCGTCGTACGATACTCTGCTTACGTGTGCAGGCAAATGTGTGTACGTTGTGTTGTATGGCGCGTTCAAGTGCATCTGTCTTAATAATTGAGGAATGATAGCCACGTAACGTGATCAGCATTTTGTTTGTCAGTCAGAGCTGTGTAATGGAGAAAATTAACGTTGAAGGTAATTAAAAAAGACTGTGGCAAAAGTAATTAACTCATTTTCTCGGAACTCTTAAAATTTTGTATGACAATTATCGAAAGGTTTCGCATCGGGCGATTTATAATAACTTCATGGCTACTAAAATATAAAAACACGCTTCATGGTCAACAACAAGAATGATCATTGAATTTATATTGATCTCCGGTCTATAATATTCAGATTGGTACCTTCAATAGTAGTTTCAATTTCCATGACCATGATTGTTAATTTTGGATGACTCGACTCGTCCACAAACACGGCGAATGTATGCGAGTAAGTACGAACCTTCACCATCGCCTTCACGAACGGTTTTTTGAATCTCTCACAACTTACAATTTATTTCAGTTCACCTTTCCGATTAGACCTGTCTGGCCATCATTTTATAATTTTCTATATCTTTTTGTAAATTTTTTTTTGCCCTCAACTGAACGAGATCAAATATTATTTGCTCTATCTGGTGTAGTTTCAGTAATTTTTTTGACGTGTTGAGTTGACAGCGCAAAACTTCCCTGTGACTGATGCAATTAAATTTCTTCTTGGCCTACCCACAAATGCCATCAACTAGAAAGAAAATGCTTGTCTAATGCGTTGTTGAAACTTTGAATCATTGAAATATTAATGTCATAAATTTTAATTTGATTCGTCTCCAGTTATAATTATAATTAGATGAACAAAACAGTGCTGAATGAAGGTGTTGGAGAGTTTATTTTCAATGGAATGGTTTGCACTGCAAAAATTAATTGCTGTCCCCAAGTAAATTCAAAATTAGGTAAAAATTACATATGTGTTTTTGAGAATATTAACTTTTTTTGTTCGTTTATTTTTTCAAAAAAAAATTGCAAAAAGGTGCTGCATGATTGTACCTGTCTGAGTTTGTATGATTTATTAAATTTTCATTTAGTTCTATAACCAAATTAAAAGTGTTTATCTAATCTTATTAATTAATTAATTTTTTATTTTTTCTTTAGAGCTACTGTAAATAAACATGATCAATTGTCTTAGTCTTGTCTTTAGTTAAGAAACTCACCTGTATAGTATTAATTAGTATTGGGTTAGGCTTAAAAGCACACATTTGATTCGGCAGCTCCGTTTTTCAAACTTTCATTGGGCGCTTCATGATTATTATCACATTCAATCGTACTAGATTTTGGTCGCAGTACATTTCTGGATACGTTTACAGCTGGGAGGTTAGTGAGCCTTTGTACTAATGTATGCCATGAAGTATAGCAAACCATGGCTGGTTTTCTGTCGTTCAAATTTTCTTGTCGTTTCTTTTTCAAATTTTCTTGTTTTTTGTTTTTTCTAAACAATCGTTCACAGCATATTCAATTCTAACAATTTTCTAAAAATTGCTGGCCACAAACGTTGGAAATTTGTCGGCCAATTCATTATCGAAAACAAATTTACAAACCTCCTTTATTAAATCATTAAAAATTAGACTGTTTTATTTAATTTAATTAAATTTTATTCGGCTGAAATATTTTTCTGAACCATTATAATTTGTATCACTTTATCATCATGTGCCAAAACTAATTTTGTTAAAATTTATAAAACAAAAGTATAGTTAGATAAATATGGCGGCAAAAACAAAACACATATAAAAATTTATTCATCTTAATTTTCATTCAAATAAACGTATAGAAATAATGCATTTGAATATTGATGTCACTCATTTATTGGATCATTCTTCCATTTTTTCCATTGGTTCATTCACTTTTTTAATAGTTCTTGTATTTTTTCTCCCCGTTAATGCCATCTCTGCAACAACTGCAGAAAACTCCTCGGCATGGCTTTTCTTTTCTCCCACGTTCCAAAACCATCTTCCTTTTCTTTCATCCCTGTAACCTCTTTCTTTTTCTGCATCTTCTTCATGGTCATCTCCATCAACATCGCCTGACGATCAGCTTCCAGCTGTGGTGTGCCAAGGTGACAAAAACTGGAAGCTGCTGGAGGGGTTGTATGATGAGTTTATCTGCTTGGGATTGTTATTTGCCCCAAGATAATGAAGATTGTGATGATGATGAACAGAAATTTTTATGTTTCCTTTTAAAAGATTTTGATGGTGGTCCGACTGAAGAAAATGTTTCTTACCAACTCTTCAACCATGATGAACAATCTTTTTTTCTAAAATGATATGGCAGCCAGGAATCCAAATCAATGGAATGCATTCCACGTTGTCCTTTATCATGTGGTGGTGATGAAGATGATGACAATGATGATGATGATCACAATGGTGAAGCTGGTGACAGTGATAAGGCTTCATTGAAGGCCACCCGTTTGTTCATCAATTCTCCAAAATAAGCCATTTTATTTTAGCAATTATTTGGAACTTCCTAACCAGATTATCTAAACTTGTGAAGTAGCGTCAGCACCAGTTGAAATTTTGTCTCGATTTTAACCATTTAAACCATTTATTAAATAATCCAGAAGCCCGTATACAAAGCTTGTATGGTAACTAAAATATCAACAAAATTAAAAATTGTTCAGGCAAAAATTAAGTTTCCAAATTACTATATCAATATAATTAACACATTTGAAATAATAAATATTAACATACTGAGAAATATAAAAACAACTAGATCATTGTTGAGAAACATTAATAACAAAGTTTTTAAATCGTCGTTAAATTTTAAGAAGGAAGAAAAAAGTATGTAAGACAAAAGATTAAAGAGATATGGAAATAGATAGGATGCGGGTAAACCGTCAACAATTTTTCAAATTTTAAATAGATGTAAATGAATAATAATCATCCACATAACCTCGATATATATACCTCAAGTTGTAAAAGTACATTGAATTTTCACCATATTTTAATTATATATATATATATATATATATATATATATATATTGTTTTTCTATATAACATAGCTTTGCTATAAACCCGAAACATTGTTTACTAGCATAACCCAAAACTGCTGAAAATTACAGACAATGTAATTGTCAGTAATTTTTAGTATAAACATTCAGGGTATGTAAACATTCAGTAAATAATTATACTGATGATGAAGAAGCTGGTGATGATGATGATGACGATGGTGCTGGTGATATGATGATGATGTGATAAATTAAGAAGATAACATGAAATCAAACTTTATAACAAATTGGTTTCATGTTTTTTAATTCCATTATATAAATAAACTTAACCAATTGTTTAACTTCTATTCAATGTTTTGAACGCAAGATCATTCATTTTAATTACATGTTTAATTCTTATTTTTAGGTTAACATTCAATTTAATGATGTCTGAAATAATTATGGCTAAAAAATTCTATATTTAATTAATTTTCGTTGGTTTTTAGCGCTAAAAGATTTTATTTATAAAAGAAACACACGTGTAAGTGTATTAACTTTTTTTCCAATCAAATAAACATGCAAAAATGAGGTATTTGAATATAAATATGACATCAATAAATAATTACTTAGTAGAGTCAACTGTTGAATACTATATAAAACGTCATCCATATCACTCTGACAAGAATTTCATTTTATAACCAAATCTTGTCCTTTTGTAGTTAATCTGCATCTCCGCAAGAAACTTCCAACAATTCGTTCGTCCATATCAAGCTGGATTAGTTATACTATCTCGTCAATTTATTCGTTCAACCAATCCATTACTTTCTGGTTTATTCATTCACCATTCATTCACTCCTTTATTCATTCTTGTATTCTTCTTCCGCAATCTAAAAATTTTTTCAGCAGGGTGGATTCCCTCCCCAGCCATTCCGTTTTCCTCCACGTTCCATCACCACCTTTTTTCTTTTTCATTCCAATATCCAATACAGAAATATCGCCAAGCCTATTAGCACGAAACTTTTGAAATACGGACAGTAGTCATTCGACTCACCAATAAAATAATATAGTAATGAAAATGCAGAAATACAAAATAACAAAACGATGATAATGATGGCAAAAAGAATTTCGCCAGACATCCCACGAACTTCTTCTACAAATGTTTCTACGTCTAGTTTCAGTAGCTCAAACCTAAACCTCAAGTCAGTTTCTTTGTTGAACGTGTTCAGCCTGAAGAATATATTGTAAAGTTGGACTCTTTTTGCCGTTGTGTTTATACTATCGGGATTCAACGTTTCAAGTTTGGAGTCGGTTTTGCACATCAAATATCGAATCGAGGACCGATTACCAAGTGAATCAACGGAATCTTGTAAATCGAGCATGTATTTCACTTTTTGCTGGTTCGTTCTTGGCTTCCATTTGAGATCGATCAGCGGGTCTGTGAGATGTTCAACTTTGTAGTGTCTATATCCTCTGACCCGGAGGACCTCTGGTCTGAAGCAGTTGTACATGTAGGATGTCTCAGGCTGGAGGAGGTGATGCTGACGCAGAGGGAAATGCTTCGATGGAAACGTCACATGTAAGGAGTCGTAATGACTTTGATTTTTATTAGCCCGTTTCTTCACTAGAGCGAACGTGTTGGTCTCGCCGTCTCGTGTCGGAGAGTAGGAAAGATGGAGGGGGTGGAATGCCAGGGATGCTGTCCCTAATACGAAGTACGGATTCCGCTGTTTGAAGTCTTCATAACGATTGTAAAACTTCCAAATTGCTAATCTCTGCGATGTCTCTAAAAACACTTTAATGTTTGAACTGGCATCAAAGATTAGAGAAGAACGTCTTACCTGCTCTGACGGTGATGATGATGACTGCTTTGTTGGTGGTAATGATGGTTCCATTGGTGATGAAGATGATCAGAAAACGTAATTTTCTTGCAGAAGCTGTAAAAATCAAGAATTAAGTTTAATTAAAATTAATCAAATTTATCTGAATGAGTTATGAGATAATAACGATATACAGCAATAATATTGATGAAAGCTAAACTATATATTAAACGACAAACGAAAATTCGTGTATATATACATACACGCACGCACACATACACACATATATGTATATATATATATATATATATATATATATATATAACAAGATTCGTTATATATATTAATCGTATACAATTTATATATATATATATATATATATATATATATATATATATATGTATCTATATATATCACCTGATACAAGCATGATATGTGGTTATAAAGTTTATTATTTCTTTGTCATTTTACTTCTTTGTTTAATTTGATTGTTTGAACCAACCGAACCTGAACTCAAGTGACTACCGAATCGAACTTTGAAACTGTTCGTCTCGTATATTGTTTTTTTTTTTTTTATAATTTAAGCTTAGTCGATTGCGATACATTGTTTTCTATATTGTATTTTCAACTTTAATGTATATCTAAGTACCATGCAATTGTCCTTGGAGACAATCTACTTGGTTATTAAAAGAATTTACATGCTCTTTAAACGGATCATACATTACATTTTTTTTTTCATTTTTTTGTAAATTAGCAAATAAGAACTGAAAGTTTGAGTGATTTAATTTGTAAGTAGGTTACATTACAATAGGATATTTTATTTACCTCCAAGCAAAATTAAAAAGGCAGGTAAAAGATATTTAGAGCAGTGTGCATAGACTGCTTGAAGGAAAATAAATGATTTGCAAGGCAACTTTTTTGGCAAAGTAACTAAATTTTTTTAATTACTACTTAACATCTGAAAGTAAGTTTATACTCTCCTAATACTGCTATATGATTGAGTATTTGAAGTATCTCGAAAGTAAGTGTTTACAGAGTATTTAGGTATCTAAATTTTTCAAGTAATTAGCAACACCGTATTTAATATTATCAATATTATCATTTTCAACTTGAACAATTTATGAAAAACGTCACAATTATTTGCGCTCATCGACTTCTTCCCGTCACAAATTTTCAAACACCTCCCTTTTAAGGCATGCCTCCGTCTTCTAGCCCTCTCTGGAATGTGACCATTTGAAATGTTTTATACAAATTTATCAATGTCACGAACGATTGAAATTGAAATAAAATACATCTGATATCGTTGATACTGTGCTTATCTCCATGAACAAGATGGACAAGTACATTGAAGAAGAAAATTTCTGATCACAGGCAATATTTTTTAATATTCTTCTGATAAAAAGAATTTTATTAACTCATAGTTAAAATTTAAAACTGGATATCACATGAGATTTCTCACTTCCAACTTGTTGCAAAATTCAGCGTAACGTGTCTTAAAAGAAATAAAAAAATATACTAAGAAACAATACGATAGTATAGTTAAAAGTTTCAAGTTTTTACATACTCTAACGACCAATTTAATAATTTAATATAAGCACCCCAATATTCTAAGAACTAAAGAATAAATTGACGGTTTTGATGGCCTATATACGTACATTTAACCGGAAAAGTGGAAAAATTGTAGCTTTTTAAAGGAAACCTTATTATACATAAAAATTGTTTAAAATGATTCAACTTAATGCTATTATACAATTTTTTTTACTAATATTTTTATTTGATCTGTTGAACCGACGCAACTACAGACTTCATATAAAAAGTTACATCGCAAAAAATTTCACTGAAGCAGTAATCATCTTTTGCCACGAACAATATTTATTTACTTTCAAATTTTTTGTTTTATTCACACAGTGGAGAATCCCGGCACGACAGATGGGGCTATATTGAACAAAATCTCTCAAAAATTTGTAAAAATGTCGACTGAAAACTATTTCCATTCCTCACCATAATAAAATTAAGATAAATTTAGCATAGAACTGCTGGTTCTAATAGTTACATTTTTTAAAAATTTTATGATAGACAAGAAGGTCTCTAAATTGCTAATTTTTGTGTGGGCAGATTTAAGCCACCCGCAGCTAATTTCTAGCTATACCGCTAGTGTGACTGCAATGATCTGTAATATGTGAGATGCGTTCTGGCAAACAATTAAGAAAGAAATGTAAGTATAAATATGAAAATGATAAATATACTAATGAGACATATAAACACCTGCACTAAAAAATGCAACACCAACGGAATATTTATTATAATATAGATCGGTAAATATCATATGCAAAATATGTGACATTGCAATCTGGAATAATAACGAAAGATGACAAATATACATGTGGATCGAAAAACTAGGTGTATTGTCGCATGAACAGAACACAGTTTGTAAAAATTAACGAAAAATTTGTTACGATAAAATTTGATGATCAAAAAACTAAATTCTTAAACGTCTCAATTTATATTGGAATTTTTATTTTAAGTTGTCGATTATATACGCACGCACAGATGATAGAACACACTTTTGGATTTTTTTTGCGATTTCGAAGCCTTGAAAGGCAAGAGAACTGATTCATGAACGAACTGTTTTAGAGATCATGTCTACTTTGTTTCTTTTTCAATTGTTAAATAAACTTTTTATACATCAAATGCAGTAAGAATAGCCCTTAAATATTTCAAGTTTGGTTCTATAATGATGTTATTGAGACTTTTTTCAAAAATTATCTCAGAAAAATCTCAAAAAAAATAATATTATTAATTTTAAATTCAGTCCATTTTCAGTTAGCAAGAATAGCATGTTATAGTCGGCGCCAATACTAAGTACGACTCAAAAGTCGAAAAAATAAAAGTCCAAGAAGTTGAAACGTTTCAATATGACGACGATACCGTTGCAAACGACATGGACCTTTTAAAGCTGGCAAAACCTTTGACCTTCAACAAGTCAGTTCAGTTGGCCTGTTTGGCTGATCCCGATGTTCTTGAATCCCATTATGTGCGTGTCGTGATTAAATACGGAAGTACCAATCCGTGTAAGCAGAATCTTAAAGTTTCTCATAATATCTGTGTTTTTCTTGATATATTCATTAATAATTTTTTTAAACTATTTGACAATTTAAGCGATCTTTTTTTAAATTCACTAAATTAATATGAAAACAAATTTTCCGCAGTTAGAGCAAATTCATTGAGTGAGCTGTGGACGGATGGCAGGATAAATGTGATGACTCACTCAGAGTGCGAATTTAATATTAACAACACAACCAGAAGATGGTTGTTCCCATTCAGCCACTATATCAACCATGAGGGATAGTTCTGTGCCGGTGCTACACAGACTTCCGAAGAAACTACTTTTTGTGAGTTACGGTTTTTTAATTAAATAATATAATCATTAAAAGATACACCTGTTATTAATTGGATATCTGAAATCCAAGATATATGGGTCAAAATCCTGATGCAGTTGTGTTTATACGGATCATGGAGATTCCAACAGCAAGTTCACAAATGAACTCTGGAACACCGAAGATGGTATAGAAATACCGAAAAAAGCGTTTTAGTTCTATCATGCATAAAATAAACAAAAATTATGGTTTTGAACTAAAAAAACTTGAAAATTTACGATCAACCGTTAGTTAAATTGAAAGTTATAAACTAATCTATCTTTCAAAAATTAAATGATTATTTACGAGTTGTTGAATGAAAAATACTTTACCATGTCGACATACACGGGCGATAGCGGAAGTCCATTGGTCTGAAGAAACTCCAGACTTCAGTGGACACAGGTTGGAGTAGTTAGCTCTTCTCAGAATTTAGAACACATCTGTTGCTATTCTTCAGTAACTCTACTGTAATAACAAACTGATGCAGGATGCTCGACTTATGATGGTGATGGTGAAAGTTTGAAAAAAGCATTGGATGCTCTAACCAGTTACTTAGTAAAGTTATCAGAGAATATGGAGTTCCTGCAAGAACTTTAAGAAGACATCAAAGCCATGATAACATCTCCGGGAACTATAAAGCTTGGTCGATTTAATACCATTTTTACAATGGATCAAGAATTGCAGCTTGTAGTAGATATCATAAAAAATATGGAAAAATCATTATTTGGAATGACCGCAACAGATGTCAGAAAAGTGGCCTTTCAATTTGCCAAAAAATTAAAGGTGGATTATCCATTCCATGTCGATACACAGATGGCTGGATTAGATTGGCTGTGTATGGTTTCTTGAGAAGGCATCCGACAAATGCTAAAAATGCAACATTTGGCATCATAATTCCTGTCAAGGGTTGGAAGAAGACCATCATGGATTTTTTTACATTTTTGGATTTGAAACTATTTTTAAGGCTTATTTTAATAGTTTTTTTACATGGGCCTTTTGCCCCATGCTTAGGTCAAAAGGCCCCTTTTCATAGAGGTCTACGGTTTGTGTTATAAAACATAGGAAACCTATGTTTGAACAATTTAATTTGTACAATTAGATAAAGGACATATCAATATAGTAAAATAATCACTAATGTTACAGAAATATTATATTTTTTAGATGTAGTCACTCATCAAAGGCTTAACTACCCTACATACAAACATGCACTTACGTACACAAACATACATTCACCTACATACACATACATACATACACATACATCTGTCAGCCAACATACATATACATACACATACATACATACGTACATATTATGTAAACAGTTGACATTTTTTGCAATGGTGCTGATAACTTTTTTTTTTATCTATAATTATATTACTCATCATTATTATTATCGGATCATAATATATTATTTTTTTATGTTACATAGATTATTAACTCATTAAGTCATTAAACCTGGGCTACTGATTAGCTGTCATACTCTTTTTGATAAAAACTTCCAGTGGTGTAATTGTACATTAATCTCTTTAGCATACATACAATACACATTTTAAAGATACAATACATGTATTACAAATACTTATAGATACTATACACGTATTACAAATACTTTTAAATACAATACAGATATTACAGATATTTTTAAATGCAATAAACTTATTAAAAATACTTATAGATACGATACATTTATTACAGATACAATATTTTTATATTTAGATGCAATAAACTTATTACAGATAGTTATAGATACAATATGTACACCCATTACAAATAATTATAGATACAATATGTACGTACATGTACACTTATTACAACTGCTTATAGATACGATATGTACCACACCCAATACAAATACTTATAAATACAATTATTTAGTTGACTACATTTGAGGTTAGAACTTCGTTGAATAATTTTTTTAAAGTTATGATGGCGCGTCTGGGGATCACACTTTTGACACTAATTTCAGGTTGTTGTTGATGATGATGAATTGTTGCTGTTGTTGATGATGGTGAATTGTTGCTGTTGTTGTTGATGATGATGGTGAGTTGTAGCTGTTGTTGATGATGATGATGAATTATTGTTGTTGTTGTTGATAATTTGTTGTTGATGATTTGTTGTTGATGATGATTTGTTATTGTTGTTAATGATGATTTGTTGTTGCTGATGATGGCTGATCTTTTAACAATTTGAATGAAAATTCACGTAAGGCTAAATTGATTGTTCTCTTGAATTTTTACTAAACCTATCAGCAATTTCAGCAAATTCTGACTCTAAAAGACACACGTGCGAAATAGTTGAGGGTAAAGAAAGTTTTTATATCTTCAACTGGGAAACCGAGGAAAACTGGCCGGTGATGAACTGGACAGATGCACATAAATTCTGTTTTGATTACATTGAAGACTCCTCTCTGTTGGACGATCGAGTGAATATATCTACCGATCATTTGTTTTAAATATTCCGCTACTCAAGTTCAGGTTAGTTTCAAATTATTAATTGCGATGTTGTCTGTGTGTGGAAACCTTTCAAAGTTTTATTTGCCCGCAGCTGTTGATGCTATGGTGTGGATTGGCTTGCGATTGGCCGAAGGCTCATTAGTATGGGAAGGCTATCCTAAGCGTTCCCTTGTGACGGGGTAACTTTGATGAATTGATCAAACAATGTTTAAGATCTAAGACTTGATACAACGTTTAGATCAATTCCTCCAATGTTTGGTGAATTTGATCCCGAAGTACAAAGCTACAACCTCAGCTCGGAGTTGTGTGCCGCCCTGCAGAAATCTACGGGTCTAATTAAACTCATCGACTGCAGCAGCAAAATCAACTTCACATGCGCCCAAAGTGTGCTCTCCAAATCTTCTTGCACAATTTCTGAAGATTATTATTTGAGAGGTTGTCGTGATTTTGTGTTTGTTTAAAGTTAGCACACGTTGCTGATGAATTAATTTTGAGTTAATTAAATATTAAAGTTGTTAAACATTGTACATGTAGAATGAAATGATTAATGATACTAATAATTAAAGTGCAAATCAACTGGTTTCGTTTATTAAATTTTTTCGAACTAGATATTTTAAATATCCTTTTTAATTTTTGTTCAAAATCTTCTATGATAAAAAAAATTATAAAATTGTGCAGGTGGTTTCTAGAAAATCATCCAATAATGTTTTGTATTTTGATCCATAATCTTCTGATTCTATTTCACATAATTGCTGTTTTCATTTTACAGTTCCACCACAACAGGATATTTTTTTTGATTATAAAGATTTTTACCGTTTTTCACACTTTGAAATGCCTGACGATGCTCACACCTTTGATCGATGGTTACTCTCTTTGAACCACCATTTTATGGTGCTGAATTTTAGTAATCCAAAACTATACTACCAACATCTTGGATCGTCTGGGTTAATTTCAAAAACATTAGAGAGAGGTTTAATGCAAGGCTTTCAAGCTTACGATATTTGGACTTCTAATTCAGCTAGTGGAACTTATATGCGAAGGGCTAATGAAAATAAACTTTTTAAGAACTCAGGTAATATTAATACTACTGATATTATGGTTTCTTTTTCATTGTCAAGAGTTTTAAAATTTTCAAGCTATAATAACAGATTATTTGTACGCCACAATCAACTACTTCAAATCTGTCGTATGGACAGATTTGTACTCATTTGTGACGCTTGATTACGTAAAAGATTGCATCTCCAAACCACATATTCAGAGGTGGATGACCTGACTGAACAGAGCGGACGGTTATGTTGAAAGAATAGTGAAGATTGAAAAAATGTTTATTGAATAGGCTTCTTGTCTGTATTTTGTTATTACGTTCTTGTTATTTTTTTCAGAAGTGATTCTGAAAACATGTTAACAGTGAAGATCAACGTTTACTTGGAAAAGGAAAATCCTGCAAGACTGGAAAGAATTTCAAAGAGGGATGTCTCTGAAGATATTGAGATAAAAAATTTTTTGTGGGCGAACAGTCCACCAGCCAATATGTAAAACTTTTTTAAAACCTAATTTAAATTTTTAATAACTTTATTATCTAATTTTCAATAACTTTACCACTTCTTGCCAACATAAATTTTAAATGCAGGTTGACAGATGAACACATTAAAGTTAAAAGCCCCGGTAAGTGCAAAACTTTTCAAAAACCATTGTGCGTATATATCAGTTAAGACAGGTTTTAAAGTTTTTTTGTACATTAATTAGTACTTGATCCGTCGTTATGCACTTCTTGTTTGTCTTCTTCAACTCCATGCAGGGATTTTTCATTTTTCTCTTGTTCAGCTTGCGGGAGAGACTAAGACTAGTGCGTCGTGCAAGGTACAGTTTCATTCGAAAGCCATCTCATCATTTGCCAAACTCAACATCAACCGCCAGCACATCTAAAACTTATAAGTTTACAAAAACTATCTCCACCGACAACAACAACAAGAAATTTCGTCGACAGAGCTCGATTTTAATAACGCTATGAGTTTTGGTGAAAGTTAGGATGGTAATCGAGGAAAAGATTTTTAAGACAGGGATTGATGGTGCACAGAAAATAAAAACTCTCAAGGCTTTCAAAAATCTTATTAATTTGTAAAAATTTTCTATAACTACATAAATATTTTTTGGAAATTTGAATTGTGGTTAAATGAAGATTATTATATTGTTTACACTGTTATATAAGTAGGTACCAAAATTAAAAAACTTATTCGAATAAAAATGACAAAAACGATTTTTTTTAAGTACTTAGTTTTTTGAAATAGTTGAACTCTAATGCTCATCAGGCTTCAGTAATTTCTCAAATCGTTTCCTGATTTCATTATGCGAATATAAAAAATCTTCAGACCACATTTCTAGCGAACCATTTTGTTCGTGTGTTCCATTATAATTAATGATTATTATTTGATTGCTGTTAGAAATTTGAATGTATTTGAATTTGAAAAATGTTTGCCAGTTGTCCTGCTAATATATAATAAAAGGCATCGATCAGAATGTAATGGTTTTCAGTTGTTCTCTTTGACAAACTTTTATCTGCTTGTCATAACTATCATCCAAATACTAAAAACGTTGCTTCAATCAGCTGTTATATGTAGAACCTTTTTAATCCGTCTACATTTTAAGTGCAATGGAATTAGATTTGCAATCAACTTCATCTTTTTATTGATCAGACCTGTCGTCATTATCACGACCATCATCGTCGTCGTCGTCATCATCCACTCACTGGCATAAAATAAAGACAAGTTTAAGCCTTTTCATCTTTGTAACGTAAGGATACATTTCTTATCATAATTTTTTCCACAGTCTTACCATCATCCACTTTATCATGAACTATTTATTTGTTAATTTTCTCAGCTATATTATTTTGCTGTTTTGAATTTGAATATTATTTTCTCCCAGATTGCTTTGGATTTGTTTGGACGTAGATATGTCATTTACCAAAGAAGCAAAAAAGCACTTTGGCGGGTATTTTAATGCTATTTTAGAGTTTTATTTCAAATTCAGCGTTTGCAGACTAGTTACGTTAAACACGCGTAGCAGTGTAACTTGACAAAATTGGTCAAATGATTAAATAAAATTTTTCCAATTATTTTTAAACGTGAATTACTAATAACTAATTTTTTTTAAATAATCTGTTTCTCTAGTACGAATTTGTTAACATAGTTTAACATAATTTTTTTAGTAAATAATTATAAAACCATTCATCTAGATCACATTAAATTTGTGAACAGTTAAAGATACAAAATTTCACAACTCACAAATAAAATTATTGTTAAATGAATTGTTCAAATAAATAATTTATCAATAAAATCCTCGTTAACTTGATTTGATTTGATTACACTGTTTGGCAACTCTTCTTGTTCAAAAAATCTTTAAAAAAAGATAAATTCATTAAATCTATTTTATTTGAATAACAATTGAACAAGTTTGAATTGATGAAATTGATTATTTGTTCATATAATTTGTTTAAATATCCAGAATATTTTCAGGAAGAACAATTATACCTTCAATTCCTGTTCTTGTTTGTCTTATATTTTTTTTCAAGAGCATAATTGTATAATGTGTCTGAATTACTTGGGATACAGTGAAGTTTAGTACACTTTAGAAAGAAGGAGTGGATAAACCGAATAAACCTCAATATTGACTGTCAGTATTGTAAGTAGAAGCTTAGACAAGTCAGGCTTTGAGACTAAACTACCAATGTAGTAGCTTCCAACGATCAAGTGTTCGTTATTCCATTGGTTCAAGATTTCCGATAGATGAACACAACTGTTTCAAACGCAAGCTTTGTTAAACGTTTTTGAATACCAACAGTAATAGTAACGTGTACCATGGCTTTGCAGTAATTTAACTTTCAAATTTTAACACAAAACTTGTAAAAACAACATATATTGTTTTGACCAAAATCAAAAACTATTTTTAAAATCATGGAAATGCTCAGTTTCAAAGTATGTGAAAAAGCAACATCAACCATTACTCAAAGGTTTTTGACCTTAAAAATTTGTGAGAGCAGAAATTATTTTCAATTTCAATTTTTTTCAATCTTTAATCTTTGTGGTACAAAACAACGCGGTTACAAATAATGACGAAAATTATATAATTTTTCTAGAAAAACTTCAAACATAATCTTTCAAAAATGTTACCTTTGAAATTCTTTCGGCAGTAGAAAGAGCAGTTCAGACAATCAGTGGACTCGATGATCCATTTGGCAGTTGAAGAAAAAGGAGCGTTGATGCTGGGATTGCCGTGATAACTTCCAAGGAATGCAGCGGGCCAGAGCGAATCATTATAACTTATCTTGTACCAACCTACGTAATAGCTCTTGGTACATTTCCAAGTTTCGTTGGTCAGGACGAAGTTGTCTGCTGTACTGGCTATCAACCCTCCTATCGTGGTAATTAATAATTAAGGCTTCGATCGGTAGACTAACATAAATTTAAATAATTAAATACAATTAAATTTTTTAATTTAAAATGATGTAGGAAAAAAAATTAAGACATTAAAAACCTGGGAAGAGATTGTTGTATGATTTCATAGCAATGACAAACAGGTGGCCACTCAAGTTGTATCTATCTGACTGTTGGTAATCGACGGCATATGGGAAATTCCCAACTATGGATATATTCTCTCCGTTGTTATAAAATTCCCTCAGCTCATTGTCCACGTTAATCGTCAGAAGTTTGTTCGTTTGTAAACCATCTTTATAGAGTCATAAAAATGAAAAACATTTTCACACGTAATGAATGTTTAAAAAGTTTGACTGAGACAAATTTTAACTAATTTACCTTTCCTGTAATAATACTGGCAGCCGGGCAGTACAGAGAACTTGTTCAATGTTTGAGTGAAGAGTTGGCACTGGTTGGTAGCATTGAAGAAGTTGTAAGCCACACAGCTGGCGGTTTGTGAACATCTCATTGAACACAAAACGAGGGCCTCTATGAACGAAAACGAGTGCAAGCTCGTGTTCACAATCGGACGATCGCACGAACAAAAACCTACCTTATCTTCTTCAAATGTTTGAAAACACTTTTTCTCAGCAACGATGATTAGAAAACACAAACATGAACCAATTAGAGCCGCAAAATACATGATAATTTGATTCAAAACCTTAATTCGACTAAAAGTTTGAAATTCCAACTTGATACGTTAGCAGCATATAAAATGCTAAAACACTCGCTATCATATTAATAAATATAAATAATATTTGGTTACGCGCAGACTACATTCAGAAATAATTTTCTTTAAAAACCACACAATGGTGCAATATACGCACTTCCTCGTTCATGCACTTAGTTCTTTGTTAGCATTCCTTTTGTTACATTTTATTGCGATTTTCCAAGTCTATTGTCAATAAATTTTTTATTTAATTTCAAAATATGTTCAAAACGCGTTTTTTGGGGTGATGGTAGAAATATATCTTTAGTTATTTTTTAGTTATTTAGTTATTTTTAATTTCTTCGCCTTCATTAGATAAGTGAGAATTACATTCAATCATAACACAAACGGTAATTTTATATCCTTAGTTTAACAGGTGTTCACTTTACTTTTTTCATATCCTTAGTAATATTCTACAATAATTTGCACAAAAATTAATTTTTAGCATCGTAAGAATCTTAGTAGTATTTATTTAAGAAAGATTTCAACATGTATGAATTTGTGCCGCGCAGAGACATTTTTTGGCATTGGGCAGACTTTTGGCTGAGGTTGAATAGGATGCAGTAATATTAACAAAAGTTGACAAAAGAGTAGCTTCATTATAATCGCTTGTCATTGTCGTCAGGCATTTATTTGCTTTGAAAATTGAAACTTTTACACAAATTTTGTAACTAATAAATTGTCGCGGTTTTTATGATTTAAGAACTTACGAATCTAAAAACTATTAAAATAAAACTAAAATTTATAATTTAATGAAGAATTATTGAAAGAGTTAATGAATAAATGGAAAAAACGAATATATGAAGATTCCTAATGAATGAACTAAATAAATGAGTGGTTACAAATGAATCAAAGCAAATGAATGATTGAACGTGCGAATGAATGACAAGATAGTATCTAGTTCATCTTGGTATAAATGAAAAAATTTTGAAGAGAGGGAATAATTACAAAAAAGAACAAGGTTATAAAGTTGAACTCTTGTTGGAGCGGTGTGGATGAAGTGTAACATTTCATTCAACAGTTGACGTTACACAGTAATTAATTATTTATTGATATCTTTATTCAAAAGCTGCATTATATGTTTGTTGATTGGAAATATAAATAAAAAACTTTGAATATAAAATTATTTGAATATAAATTGTTTGAATATAAAATTAAAATAAAATATAAAATTAAATGTTGACCATGGACTTAATAAAATAATAATTTAAACCGATATTTTTGCGTTAAAACAACAAAAAATATATATCAAAAAGTATTATTTTGAAAATTTAATCAAAAAACAACACACACACACACACACACACACAAACACACACACACACACATTCACACACATTCACACACTCACTCACACATTCACACACAAACTCACATGATCAGCTTGCATTACGGTTTGCATTATTTACGAAACATTTATTCCAAACGCGCTAAAAATTAAACGACACACACACACACATTCACACACACATTCACACACACACACACATACACACACACACATACACTTGATTGACCTGCGTTTTTTTTACGAAACATTCATTCCAAACGCGCTGAAATTTTCTTCAATTGTGCGTGACGAATAATAAATCACACTAAACAATGCATCGGGTAATCAATAAATATTTTTTTGGTGAAAAAAAATTTTGAAATATTGCCAAACGTGTTGCAAAACGTCAAATTAACCTGGAACTTTCAATTTGGTTAGTCCGAGCTTAACATTCTAGAGAAGATGTCACCCAAAAAGTTGGACATGCTAGCGTTCATCCCCATCTCCTTGAAGTTCTTGGTTACTGCTTCCAAGTCCTTGCCAAGTTTTAATTCATTTTCACCGTACAAAAACTCGTTTGGTTTGAAAACCTGCGCTGTAGATGTGGCAGACGAGCAGTTTGTTTTTTCATATGATTCGCGCGTGAAATGTGTAGCGATGTGTTCTGCGGTGGTTGGTTGCGTCGGCTGCAACTACCACCTCGACAGAAGAGTCTGTCAACTCTTCAAAAATCGAACCAAACTTGGTCAAGTGCATGATGCTGCAGGCCTGTGCACTTTCCACGAAGTAAGTCATTTTTTAATTACTTTGTTGGAACATCTAATGTTGAAACAAAGTGAAAAAAGGAAGAATATTTATTTCCCCGACTAAATAAATATTCTCAAACATGAATGTTCATCTTAAAATTTAGAAATCAGGCAACCAACTTCTACATGACGGTAACTAAATTGTTCTTTATCCTAGTAATTTTCTTCTTAAAGCAATAAATAAAATTTTGCATGTGCCCAGAATTCAGCGCTAGGTACACAAACTGCTACATGGATGTGACGACGGACAGGGACCTGCTCTTGCGTATTGTTGATAATCAGATGAGTCGGGCCTGGTGTCTCCTCTACTGTCTCAACCTCAACTACACCTTCTTTGGACTTCAGGCAATTTTTATTTTATTGATTTGATGACGATAAAATGACGTAATTTGATGATGTAAAGGTTAAAGTAGCTTGGTCTTGTTGTTGCAGCGACCTAGTTCGACTGCAAAGAGATCAATGATTATCATATGCGTGGTTTTCACGCGTTGTCATATAAGCTGTGTGTGTTTGTCGTTGAAACATTTCAATTAAGATGGTGATTACTCGCTGTCGGGCAATGTTGAAATGCAGAAAAAGTTTGGTTCGAATTTCTAAACTCATCTAAACTCACGTTGTTAGTGTCGACGCTGCGATTATTTAAAAAAGAAAAACAACGACACTCTTGAGAATTTTTGAAAATTTTTATCTTGAAATATCTTATTTTGTTATTCATGGAACTCATCATTGCTAATTACAAAAACTGAAAATATATTTTTTACTCACAATATAGCCTGTTATATGTTGAACGTTTGTTAGATCTTAAAAACGCATGGGGCATTTTATCAAATTTATTACAATTATTTGCTAATAAATTACATTAAATCGAGAATCCTAGCTGTCAAGCCTACAATAAATTGGATGTGTACCAGACGTATTGACAACACTGGAACATCAATCATTTCTGCCATTTCTGCGTTTCTGACTCAATCCTCTATCTCTCTTTCTCGCTCTCTCTCTCTCTCTCTCTCTCTCTCTCTCTATATATATATATATATATATATATATACATATATCAATCAATAGGAAACTTATATAGCGCCAATTAAAAGTTCTCAAAGCGCTATCGTAATTATATAAACATTGAAGTCTACAATACTATAAAAAAAAAACACAACAACTTAACTAAAATTATCAAAGTTTAACAGTGAACAGATATGTTTTTAATTCTTTTTTAAATGTTCTAAGAGACAGTCCGGATGATCGCAATGACTGTGGCAAGCTGTTCCACACGGTCGGACCTGCAACAGAGATACTCCGTGCACCAATCTGCAAGTGTGAAGCCGATATTGTCAACAAATTCATATCATCTGACCGTAGATGAGACGACGCAGACATTTTTTTTGAAAGTTTGTTTACGAGATATTTTGGTGACATCCCATTCAGTGATTTAAACACAAGTACAGCGATTTTGAAGGCTACTCTTTTATCTATTGTCAATTAGTGTAGTTCCTCCAGGATGGGCGTCACACATATATATGTTGGTAATAGACCATAATTTTTACAATATTCTATAAATTCTACCGAATGTTTGGCGTTAATATGTTTGTAGTTCGTTTTTTCGATTTTTCTCACTAAAGTTTTTTGGTGAACGTTAAGTTTATTAAAATCAAAATAA